CAAGAGACACCTGCTGATTCGGCTTTTTAATGAGCTAATCATAGTGAAGTTAATGATATACATGAGCCGTGGTGATTTGCATTTCAATTTCTCCTCACCCTGAATAATTTGACATGAACATAAAAGGGAAAGTGAAGTTCATCTAATAGAAACACCTGATCCAATATCACACTCCAGCACCTCAGTTGCAATTGCAGAAAGTTACTTAGTGGACGTGATTTTCTTTCTTTTTGGTAATGATTTTTACAGCAATATTTGGAAATTCCATATGACATTCCATGATGTGGTTGATCTCTTGTATCATGTTTTAAATCTCATCTTATTTCTTGGCCATACATTTGCTTTCCCTATGCAGCTTTAACAGGACATATCATGGCTAACAAACTTCTGTTATTCAACGATGCTGAAATGTTCCACTATGTTGGAGAGTGCTGAATAACTCTCGTAGTATAGACTTGAGTATGAAGAGCAAACTGATGAAGACAATTCAAAATGAGTATCTCACATAAGTACAGTAGAAACTCTCAGTCGTATATGTGATTCTGGCTCATGAAGCAACATAATTTGTTCTTTAAGATGCGCGAGTAGCTCTTAAATAGATATCTGTCCATTAGCACTTAAATATAGGGGAAATCTAGGGCAATCACAACTGTGCTGGCAGAGAGATTTGTCCTTATGGCAACACAAATGAGCTGCTTCTTGTTATAGCAAGTTAGGCTACTCTCACTAGGAGAAACCATGAAAGAATATTTGGCCGAGGGACCAAGTGGCGTATATAGCTAGCTTAGAGTTGAACTTGCTTGTGGGAAGATAAAGTGGCTCAGACTGCCATTGATATGTAGCTTAGACTACCGAGGCTGAAGCTGATGTACAACACCTGTAATGAGACATGATCCAGAAATGCATGAATTGAGATTTGCCTGATCGAGTGCTTCATAGAGTCCATGTTCATATCATATATGACACCCTAGAAAATTTTTTAGGAAAACTTTGGTATGGTGTGATATGTTAACATTGTTTCCTGATGCCTCGACTTGAAACCTGAGCTTGAATATTATTTGAGATCTGCACATGCCTAGTGCTCTGTGAAAATTATAGATCAAGAATAAATCATGATCTTCCCTAGTTAAATTTAATTTACATTTTCTTTTTCAGTTGTATACTCTTAACTAGGCTTGATACACTTCAACTGAAACCACTGAAATCATGCAAAGAGAACAGAATTCTCATTATTTTTGCGAATTTTTCTTTCAATGTCAGAGTAATTTTTTTTATCAACCTTATTAGAAATTTACCAGCAATTTCATAAATATATGACCTATAGAAAACTTTGCGGTTTCTTCCCTTAACCGGACACTGAAAATTTGGATGAGTTGCGCTGAAATATTGAAGTAACTAAAAATTCAAACACAGGAAGATGTCCGTGACGCTAAAGGGTAATGGTGAACTCAGATGCCTAAAGCATTTAGATTACTTTCGAACGTAGGATGAAACCAATGTAAAAGAGACTAGGTGTGAGCTTGGACACCTAACTTTCTTTCTCTAGGAAGAATTTACATGAGGATCTTCTCTCAATTTCACAGTCTCTCAGCTTGTAGATCCTCACCGATTTGATAAACGCATTTGGCCTTTTTAAATAGCAACTTGAATTTTAGACCGTCAATGCTGGCATCTGAGCAGCAAGAGCTTGAGCTTCAAGGGCGGGCTCCCATAAAATTGTAGTTTCAGCAAGTAACGAGGTCACAACGTATGGGTTGATGTTTGAGGCAGGGCGTCTTTCAAGTAACCTGCATATCATTTTAAGCCATTAATTGACTGAGCAAGAAAGGTGAACTTTCTATGTTTTATCTATATTCAGAAATAATGAAGCATTCCATAAAGTTTTTTGAGACACTAAAAGAACTGACATGTCCAAGTCTTAACTTCAATAAAGTTCCGTAAATATTGTATTAGTAAGGACTGATGTGAAGATTTACATTTGTTTAGGAAGCATAACTGGAGAATGCTTTATGAGTGTTAACAATTAAAATTTCTTTCACAGTAACAATCATAGAATCAACTGAGACCAAAAACAACAATAAGTACTTTCTATGCACTATTTTTTTATGGTAGCTTTTCTTGATCATCCGTGAAAGTTAAGGGTCTCCAATTGATACTCGGACAGAGCACAAAAGGGGACTGGTGTGGTCATTGTTATAGTACCTTTTCCTTGCTTCTCATTGTCATGGCCCACAAAGATTGAGCAACCATTGTTGGCAAGTCCCTGCATAACGGAATTCAAATAATTCAGGCATCATAACAAAATTTGAGTTCAATTTAATGGGCAATCTTCGAATTTGACTCGCAACTGGTATGCTTCTGAGCATTACCCTAGAAAATGTGTCGATGTTGGCTGTTTCATCCTTTCCTATCAACCTTCTCTCATTTCCTTCTTCGTAGGTGCTAATGCGCTCCTCGTGGCGAAGTGAGAGTTTGAGAATTGCCTGCTTTATCATTTCAAAGCCTCCATATCACTCATGCTTTTGGTACTTCAGAAATCACAGGGAAAAAACACTCTTAAATTCCTTCAATGAAAAGAAGTACTTGATCAAGTTCATGTTATTTATATGGTGTGAACCTATAGTTAGTGTGGCATCCTGCACCATTCTATTCACCCCGACAAGGAAGAGAATATTTTATCAACTTTGGGATAATATGTTGCGTAGATGGTGATAGTGAAGTCAACAACCTCCATTGACTTCGGATCTAACATGAGGAAAACACCAGCTTGCTCAATTATTCTATGCTATATAAGCAACATAAGCAATTAAGTATTGAAAACTGTAGGACATGTCTGTATGCATTTATTCTCTTTGCCGTTAATGGCATTCGCTTATTTTCTTGAGCAAGTAATTGTAATTTCACCTCAAGGATGTATCTCGAACACCATATATAATCTCCCGCTTGCATGATAGAAGCCGGTGTTGATGGCGACAATTCTGTGCTTTTTTTTCCGTAAAAACAGGCAAGATGGCAATATATTTTATTGTCGCCATTCATACCCTTAATTTGCTGCCCATATCAATGCCAGAACCTCCGATCCTGTCTCATAGTTAGACTCACGTCAAAACGTTGAACAAGATTTGCTAGTGTAGAAATTGAAAAACAAAAAAAAGTTGTCACTTGTTGAATGTGTATAAAACATATGCATATTTATTCTGATGGTAGATTGAAGAAAAATTCTAACTTCTAATCTCAGTACAGATTAGGCATTAGAACATACCAAATGTGATTTGCAACTATCATATCAGTGTAGGGTGTGACGTTCAAGTTGAGAAGACTCTGAAGCCTGTAATAGCAGTGTTCTCAAACTTCAAAGCATACACCCTGAACTTAGAAAAGCTCTTGGTGTTTCCACTCTTCTTCTGTTTTAGCAAGAGAGAAATCCATGTGTTTGCTGCCATGGGACTGGCGCTCTGTGATTCCTTTGTGATCCTCATCTGGCATTGTGTCGTTGGTGCCAAAATCTGCGCCATTTCTACCTAGTCTGAAAATTAAAGCAGTGTGAGTAATAGACATATCTATTGAACCAAAAATCCTGGAAGCTTACTCCCATGGGAGATAGTTCAAATGACAAGCTCTGTTTGTATGACTTGGCCTTCCGGTTTGCATGAGAAATTAGTTTTGAAAAGATAAAAATATGGGCTGGTACTTCGAAGAAAGGGTCTCTTTAGCAAGTGCTAGCGCCAAAAAGTAGAAAACCTCTTTTTGAAGACTATTTTCAAATAGGAAAAACTTACATTTTGAAGCATAAATAGCGAGTTTTATCAATTGCCCTAAGGACACTACCACATTCTCCTTTAAAAGTAAACTAAAAACAGTGGCATAACTGCACCTATCCTTTTAGAACCATTTCAAGGTTATTCTCAGGCCTCATTTCCAAAAGAGAGCTTGAGAACAAGTTAAAAAGTAAGGGCACTTACATAAGGAAGCATACTGTAGAGTGCAACAGTTTAAGAGATTAATGAAATTCCAACTTACCAAGGATCAATCAGCAAACATGTTATTATGATATTTCATTAGATCTAATGGATGATCAACTTGTGAATCTTGACAGTGCACCTAATTCTTTCCTCTCACAATCAAAGGGCAATCACATTGAAGTACTTTCTTCTTTCACAAACTTCGCATAATTGCAAATTACCCTTGCCAACGGCTTTGGCGAAAATATCCATCAGATATCGGCGTGGCAGAGTAAGACTACCGAACACAGCAATAATCAGTATGACCAATTGAAGTCATCGAACAAGAAAAATCTGAGCCAAGAGAAACCAATTCCACACGAGGTCCACAATATAGACTTAACATTGGTAGTGATTGATTTGGTCATCAAAAGAAACGACAACAATGACTACTGCTCTGTTCATTCATTCTACCTTGCACAGCACACATTTCTTTTGCAAACATTGTTTTGAACAAGAGATCAAGAACACGTCAATTGTCTACCAAACAAAATGAATAGGACAACCTTGCAGTGATCAAAATGGAGAAGTAATAGATTAGACTTCCAGTCCAATTGTCATAAGGCCTCTTCTAATTTCAAACATTTACTCAATTGTTTAAGATGGTGCTCAAAATTGGCAAAGGATTTACCTGAGAATCTCTGCAGAATGGCTGAACAGCAAGACAAGAATGTGCATTTCCCTTCTCTCTCTCTCTCCTCACCATTGCATTTCTCTTCAAACTCTTCACAGAGAGACCTCAGAAACTCTACTATAATGCAAAACAATTCGCAGCTTTTAGTTTACACAACATTGCTCTCAAACGCTAACAATAACATCGCTTCATGTATGAGAGTCCTCCAAGAATCATCGGATTGTGCAGGCAACTTCGCTCCTTGTGGAAATCAAATGAGCAGATTGCACAGCATATCTGCAGCATGAGTCACGAGCTAGATTCAATGAGCTCGGAGTTGGATGAGAAAGGGTATGAAATTTTTCTCTGTGTTTTTTCTCTCGCGCTTCTGGGAATAAAGTGATGTTCCCACGCACCCTAATCCCCAATCGAATCAAGCATCCAAGGGGATATTTCCAGGCCCCAAACCTTTCACCGATCTGTCCATATCCCCCCAAAATCGAATCAAGTATTGAAACACCATATTCCAAAAATCATTATTCATGTACAATTCTGAGAAAAAAACAAAGGTCCCACGTACCTTCAGTAAGGAAAATTAGGGCTCGATCTGCCATCATTCAATATCTATGAGGGGGATATGAGCGATCTTGTCCCAGTCCTCGCCTCCATCTCTCTTGCACCTCCTCTCCAATTCTGGGCAATTGTAGATTTTCAGGTGAGTAAGGGATGCAAGCCTTCGCATTCCTTCGGGTAATGACGTCAACGAGGGGCTATCGTGGATGTCAAGCCGTTGAAGTGATTGAAGGGCCTCGATCTGCTCTGGTAATGCCTTCAAATTGGAGCAACCCTCAATTTTGAGATGCTCGAGATTGCTGGCCTGTAGAAGCCATTGTGGGAGAGATGCTAGTTTGGGAAGGCTGTTGATCGACAAGGACCGAAAACTGTGATGGAGTCCTCCATGGAAATCCAAGATGAGGTTGTTGTTGCCGCCGCTCTCGTCTTTGCATAAATCCAGCTCCTTACAATCCTGAATATCGAGACGCTCGAGATTGCTGAGCTGGAGAAGCCACTGTGGGAGAGATGCTAGTTTTGGAAGGTTATAGAGATCCACGGAGCGGAGACTAAAGTTCCAAGATGTGGTTGTTGCCGCCGCTGCTTTCGTCGTAATTGGATAAATCCAGCACCTCAGAATCCGAAGAATCGAGATCCACCAGGATGGATTGATGTCATGTACCCAGCGGTGGTGGTGCTTTTGAGAGGGAAGTTAACCCAGGGCAACCCCTCGAATCATGTAGCATTGATAGATAACTTTATCAACTCTGTCCGCAGGATATGAGATATCTTGTAACAGTCGTCGCCTGCATCTTTGTGGCACCTCTCCTCCAATTTTGGGCAACCTGCGATTCTTCGGTGAGTACATAATAGTTCTAGTATTGTTCATCTTTTTGTGCACCACACTCAAAGGTTTTAGACATGAAAACATACCAAATGTATTATGCAATTATTGTATCGGTGTAGGTGTGACGTCCAAGTTGAAAAGACTCTCGAGCATGTACTAGTATTGTTCTCGGACTTCAAAGCATACGCCCTGAACTAAGAAAAGCTCTTGGCGTTTCCACTCTTCTTCTGTTTTAGCAAGAGAGAAATCCATGTGTTTCCTGTCATGGGACTGGCGGTCAGTGAGTTCTTTGTGATCCTTATCTGGCATTACATCGTCGGTGCAAAAATCTGTGCCATTTCTGCCTAGTCTGAAAAATAAGCCAATGTGAGTGACAGACATATCTACTGAAGCCAAAAAAAAAACCAGGGAGCTTAATCTCATGGAAGATAGTTCAAATGACGAGCTCTATTTGTATGACCTGGCCTTCTGGCACGCACGAGAGTTTAGTTTTGAAAAGATAAACGAATGGACTGGAATACTTCAAAGAAAGGGTCTCTTTAGCAAGTGCTAACACCTTTACCCTAAGCTTAATCTCATGAAACCGCATTTTGAAGACTAGTTTCAAGTGGGAAAAAATTGCATTTTTGAAGCATAAACAGCGACGTCAATTGCCATGAACAATTTTACACACACCGGTTTCGATAGAGGTATAAGCTTAGAGATCGGAAGGCATAGTGTTAGCCCACTTGAATTTGATTCTAGCCCAAAAATAGAGGGATAAACTGAGATGACAAAGTACCGCTCGTGAAATACAGAGCATGATGATCCAAACCAAAATGCTATTGAAATAGCAGCCACCGACCACACATCATAATAGTTTTCGAGCTGCGAGTCCAGTTTGAGGAGCCAAATCAGCAAACTCAGCTCATCTTCACCAGATCAAGCAATGAACCCAATCAAAAGATACAAAAACAAATTCATATGACGCCGAACAGAAGTAGTGAACTACGATCAGGAGCAAGGACAAAGCAAAGAAATTCTCTAGAGGCACCAACAATCCAAAATCAAAAAACTGTAAAAAGCATTAACGATGATGCTGAACTCAGTGGCATTGTATTCGAAAATTGTTCATGTAAAATCTGGGAAACAAGGTGCCCCCACATACCTTCAGTAAAGAAAATTAGGGCTCGATCTGCCACCATCCAAGTTGTATGTGGGGGATATGAGCGATCTTGTACCAGTCCTCTCCTCCATCTCTGTTGCACCTCTTCTTTAATTCTGGGCAATATGTGATTATTAGGTGAGTAAGGGATGCAAGCCTTCGCATTCCTTCGGGTAATGACGTCAACGAGGGGCAATCGTAGATGTAAAGCCGTTGAAGTGATTGAAGGGCATCGATCTGATCTGGTAATGCCTTCAAATTGAAGCAACCCCAAATTGTGAGATCCTCGAGATTGCTGGCCTGCAGAAGCCACTGTGGGAGAGATGCTAGTTTTGGAAGTTCAACGATTGCCACGGAGCGAAGACTGTGATGAAGTCCTCCATGGAAATCCAAGATGAGGTTGCGCTCTCGTCTTTGCATATATCCAGCTCATCACAACTATCGATACAGAGATCCTCGAGATTGCAGGCCTGTAGAAGCCACTGTGGGAGAGATGCTAGTTTTGGAAGTTCAACGATTGCCACGGAGCGGAGACTCTCCTTGTGGAAATCAAATGAGCAGATTGCACACCATATCTGTAGCATGAGTCACGAGCCAGATTCAATGAGCTCGGAGTTGGATGAGAAAGGGCATCAGAATTTTTTCTCTATGTTTTTTCTTTTGCGCTTCTGGGGAATAAAGCGATGTTCCCACGCACCCTAATCCCCAATCGAATCAAGCATCCAAGGGGATATGCCCAGGTCCCAAACCTTTCACCGATCTGGCCACATCCGCCCAAAATCGAATCAAGTATCGAAACACCATATTCCAAAAATCATTATTCATGTACAATTCTGGGGAAAAAAAAAGGTCCCACGTACCTTCAGTAAGGAAAATTAGGGGCTCGTTCTACCCTCGTCCAAGTCGTATGTCGGGGATATGAGCGATCTTGTCCCAGTCCTCGCCTCCATCTCTCTTGCACCTCCTCTCCAATTCTGGGCAATAGTAGATTCTCAGGTAAGTAAGGGATGCGAGCCTTCGCATTCCTTCGGGTAATGACGTCAGCGAGGGGCACTCGCCGATTGTGAGCCATTGAAGTGATTGAAGGGCCTCGATCTGCTCTGGTAATGCCTTCAAATTGGAGCAACGGAAAATTTCAAGACACTTGAGATTGCTGGCCTGTAAAAGCCACTGTGGGAGAGATGCTAGTTTGGGAAGGCCTTTGAGATCCACATTGCGGAGGCTCTGAAGTCCTCCATGGGAATCCAAGATGATGTTGCCGCCACTCTCGTCTTTGGATATATCCAGCTCCTCACAATCCTTTAATTTGAGGCGCTCGAGATTGCTGGCCTGTAGAAGCCACTGTGGGAGAGATGCTGTTTTGGGAAGGCGGGAGATCCGCACGGAGCGGAGACTGTGATGGAGTCCTCCATGGAAATCCAAGATGAGGTTGCCGCTCTCGTCTTTGCATAAATCTAGCTCCTTGCAACCCTTAATTTCGAGATGCTCGAGATTGCTGGCCTGTAGAAGCCACTGTGGGAGAGATGCTAGTTTTGGAAGTCCAATGAGAATCACGGAGCAGCGACTGTGATGGAGTCCTCCATGGAAATCCAAGATGAGTTTGTTGTTGTTGCCGTTTTCGTCTTTGCATAAATCCAGCTCCTCACAATGATCAATAGAGAGAAGCTCGAGATTGCTGAGCTGGAGAAGCCACTGTGGGAGAGATGCTAGTTTTGGGAGGCCCCAGATTTTCACGGAGCGGAGATTCTGAAGTCCTCCATGGGAATCCAAGATGAGGTGGTTGTTGTTGTTGCCGCCGCTGCTTTCGTCGTTTTTGGATAAATCCAGCTCCTCGGAATCCGAAGAATCGAGATCCACCAGGTTGGATTGGTGTCGCGTACCCAGTGGTGGTGGTGGTGCTTTTGAGAGAGAAGTTAACCCAGGACAATCCCAAATTAGAAGAGATTCAAGTGAGGTGAGGCTTTTCCAGCACTTCCCGGGCACATATTCTAGAGACTCCATCTCCTCGATTACCAGGCTCTTCAACTTATTAAGGCCAAATATGTTATTTATCAACGCTGGGTGGGCCCCATCCAGCCTTAATTCCTCAAGATGCGGAGCTAGTGGCACAGCTTTCAATTTCGTACACTTAGAGATCTCCAATTTCAATAGACTAGGAAATGATGTTGTTGAAGTGGATGAATCATCCGACACGATGTATTCCAATTCAGTTAGCTTCTGAATCTTTAAAGTCTTGAGGTGACGTAGTTGGCCTAGTAGAGGGAGACTTTTACATTTTCCACAAGAGAATATGCGTACCTCAACTAAATTGGGCAAGGAAGACACGAGATTATTCATCATCCAACTTGGAAAGCTCTCACCGTTATATCCATTGATCGTTAACTTCTGCAGATTTGAGTGCGGCTGCAATCTACCTAATAGAGCTTTATCTCTATCCACAATTGCGACATCATCGGTATTGAAATAACCCCATTCAAGTGCCAAAGATTCCAGAGACTGCTTCCATATCAAGTTCGCAGCCTTGGATTCTACTTCGGCATCTGTCACACTTCCCAAATTCTCAATTCTAAGGCTTCCCCGGATGTCATTAAGCCCATTTAGCTCCCCAAGTTCGCAAAAATCCTTAGCAAGACCTTTATCTTTGGGCAAAATGAAGCGTGTTAGCCTATGCAGAGAACTCAATTGCCCTAGTCCGCGTGGCAAATAACTAAGTTTCCGACAACCATCTATGTATAGATTTCGAAGGCTGACTAACTTCCTTATACCCCTTGGCAATTCTTCAAGGGCACAACCGCAGAGATTAAGTGTTTGCAAATTCTGCAATTTTGTAATGGAGTTAGGAAGCCTTTTGAGTGCTCTATTGTGAGAGAGGTCGAGATACGTAAGATGCTTCAACTTACAAATAGACTTTAACACCTTCTCGACATATGTGGTACGCAGATCCAAGACGCGCAACCTCTTGAACCTTTGAATGAGTTGGTGTAGATCTACTTCACTCATTGGTTCCATTTTCCTATCACTAACAACACACAGAAATGTTCTCAGTGCACTTGCTTGCACGCGTGTGATTTGAAATTCACCCTTCAAATTGAAAGTTGAACCATATGATATGTGACGAGTTCTTTCGGGTATGGATTTTTTGTCATCCCATGCCGCCCAACACTCAGTCCTTGCAACTGAGCAGGCTAGATCATGCATCAAATCATGCATCTTGCAAGTCTCCTCGTTCGTGTATGGATTTTTCTGAAAATCCTGAAAGAAGTTACTCCATAGTAGATCCTTGAAATATCCACAAGCAATGTCTTCTAAATGCTGACTTCTATTTGATTGCTGGATAAATCCTTCTGCCATCCAAAGATCGACCAAAGTCTGCTTCTTTATCTCATAATCTTTGGGAAACAATGAACAAAACGCGAAACATTGTTTCAAATGTGAAGGAAGATGGTCATAACTTAACCTAAGAACAGATTTTATGCCTTCTTCCCTTTGAGACACATCTGGGAGCTCATAATCTTTGAAATGCAACCATTCGGGTTTAGTTTTCTTAATGAATAGTACACTCCCAACAATTCGAACAACCAATGGAACCCCATAGCACTTTCTAGCTATATCTTCGCCGATAGTTAGCATTTCAGGATCTTGTATCTTCTCTTCTTTTCGACAAGCCATTTGCATTAACAAATCAAGAGATGCACTGTCAGATAAGCCCTTGAGAAAATGAGGTGGAGCAGTGCGGGTGATCTCCGCAACCAAAGGAAGGCGTGTGGTTATGAGGATCTTGCTTCCTCGAGCACCTCCCATCAATAAAGTTTCCAACTTTAGCCATGTTTCTCGTTCTGTAGTCCACACATCATCTAAAACTAAGAGATATCTCTTTCCATCAATTTTTGTCCTTAGTTCACTTTGCAATTGTTCAATCGCAACTTCAGTTAGTTCTTTGTTCTCTGCACAAGCTATGATATTTTTCACTATTTTATTCTTGTCAAAGTCATTGGAGACACAAACCCACAATTTCAAGTGAAAATGTTTACTAATCATCTCATCATTATAGACACATTGAGCAAGTGCCGTTTTTCCAAGTCCACCAATGCCAACTATCGGAAGGATGGAAACATTCTCATTCATGTTTGAATCCAATAAGAATTCTATGATCGTCTTCTTATCATCATCTCTCCCTCTAATATCTCCCTCACATATAAACGAATGTGTCTCTTCTCTCTTCCGCGACTCTCTCTCTACTCGCAAGTCCACGGGTCGCTCGGCCAATTGGAATCTCCTCCTACCAGCATTAATGGCTTCTATTCTCTCCCTCGCTGCTCTTATTTTGTAACTCATCTTCAGTTTAAAAGCAAGCTGATTTGAACTTGAGAAAAATGCCTTTACCTCCTTAATCATTGTGTTGTGGCCCCTCAATTCTCGTCGTGTAGCTTCTATATTGAATTCTTCAAGCACATCTTGCGCATCATAGAATGCTTCTTTCAATTTCTCAAGCCAATCTCGGATTAGGCGACTTTGGTGGGATTGCTCCTCTGCATCGTCCAATACGGCCCGAAGCATGGAGACAGTGTCCCCGAGCACCTCGAGTTCATGCTTGACGCCCCATAACTTTCCAAACTTATCTAGTGATTGAGTAACCAGATTAGCAATGATCTCTCCAGCAATGCTGATAACGACAACTTCCGCCATTTTGGTTCTCTCTCTTTGTTTGTCTTCTCTGTGCATCAGAAGATATTAATCCAGTTAGTTCGAAGGCTAGAGAATTCTAGGGAAAATTACGAAATTTAGGCACAAACCATTTTTACGGATTCCAACGAGCCTTACACTTTTCAATTTTATCAATATAGTCATAAATCTTTACATGAAATTTCAATATAGTCCTTCATACTAATTATCACCTGCAATTAGTGACGTGGCGGTCAACTCATCGTTGGCCATCCTACATGTTACCGTTGGCGATCCAACATGGACAAAACAACGCCGTCTTTTTACTTATTTATTTTTCTTTATGTTCTTTTCTTTCTTTTTTCTTTTCTTCACAACTGTTTATCATCTTCCATCTCACCATCGCTCGGCCAAAGCTCCTCCAGCGGTCCTCCATCGATGCCCACTACCGCCTAGACCTTCGGTGGCGTTCGTTGACCCATGATCAACCACCACTATTACCTTGCTCGTCCGATCTAATGGCTCAAGCTCCGCTACAGCATGGAGTTGCACATCCTATTCATACCTAATAATGATTAGCTGATGGATCTCTTAACTCCCCCTTCCACATTAGTTGCATGTTCAACATTTATGGATGCCAAGTTAATTTTATGTCATTTCATTTCTTTCTAATTCCTCCTTGTCCCACTAGGATTTCCGAAAGAAATTATGTGACTTGTAAGTATGTCAGTAACTAATAAATTTCATGTGATCAGTAACTTTCTACAAGAAATTCGACTTTCAGCTAATGAAAAAGTACTGACCTGTTTTCATGATTGCTAAAGTTTTATATAAAAGGTAACCTTTCTAGGTTGATTCTTATCGTCCCATATATATATATATAAAGACAAGTTTGAACAAAACTGATGGTTTCTGCGATGTAATAATAAATCTTATATAACATGTGGTCTGTAGCTTATTCACGGAATTAGTAAGTTTTTCCGTTAAAAAAATAATTACCGCCGACCCTGTTTAACAGAAAAATGTTAGGTATTGGCAAACAATAGTTAACCCTCCCACGTGGTCCAGAAAATGAAAATTAAAGTTCATTTTTCTCAGCAGATGCATATAAAAATTTCGCCTGAAGGGGGCTAAAGAACAAAGCCCAGCTTTTTTCTGATGATATGCCCATTTTCCTAGTTTCATCACATGCTTTCCATAGAAGACAGTGCACGTTCACGTGTATGCACAAATTGTTTACCAGAGACATCGAGTATTAAGTGTAATAAGATTTGAATCTTGAAAAGATGGAAAATTATTATAGTTGTCTGGGCAACTTCAACATCTGACTTCACGTGGTAAAGAAAATTTATCTTCATCAATCTCCGCTTTTGCCCGGATAAAAAAGAAAGAAAACATTGTGAATGAAGAAGTATGAAACCTTTTCTGTGCAAAAATGAAATTATATTTTGGTAGTGAAGTTCCATGCGCTGGGATAATAAAAGCAAGCTGATGAGGATGGTTTTCAACTTTAAATTTCCATACGTAGAAAGGTAAAACAGCTCTTGAAGCTGGCTAATCTTCCATTTTGAACTCTATTTAGAAATTTGGAAATCGGGACATGTTATATGTTTTCATGTGCCCAATTTGGAAAAGGCTAAATAGCCTAAATATGTAGATCTTGAGGGCCATGTTTACACCATATAAGTCAGATCTCTAAATCCAAATAAAACAAGTTGATAGTTTCCCTAAGCATTCTTTGCTTCATCAGGCTATTCATCTTCAGAAAGCTCACTGATTAGTTCCTATAAGAAAGAACGAACCTGGCTAATCGTGGGCTGATCGACAGCCGACCAACAAAGGCGAGGCCACAACCGGCCAGATCAAGAGAGTAGGACAGGAGACGGTGTTGGCAAGACCGAGAGAGAAAGAGAGAGAGAGAGAGAGATGAGATTGGGCAAGACTCCAGAAAGAGACAGAGATCAATGGCACCGCTGGGGAAAGTCAAGAGACTAAAGAGGCTAGCTATGAGAGTGAGAACTTAAAGAAAGTAGCAAGGGTCTTATATATAAAATATTTAGCATTGTTTTGAACTCTTCCAAACCAGATCTCCCAAAAACTGGTTCCCAGAATTTTTACATTAGAGCTGACCGGTTCTCGTGTGAACCAGTGTCGAATCGGCGAGTTCGGTTCGGTTCCGGATTGAACCGACCTAGTTGCTCACCCTTAAAAAAATGATACATTTGAGTTCTAACAATAAACAATATAAGGCTAATCTCTCAATCAGCGAAAGGGAAGGACCATCATAAAGTGTAGAGTTCCTTTTGTCTAACTAAATTAGATAGCCCATTATATGAAATGAAAAGCCAATCATACAAAATGATTGGTCAATTGAAATCCTTTAATATCACGTCTATTATCAAACATAATATTATTTATATTAGATGAGATTACAATGGAGATTTTTTATGCTACGTATTAAAAGTCAAATGTGAAAGACTTGTAGTAGTCATTATATTTCATAGAGGATGTGGTAGGAGAGGTAACTCTTCTTTGCAACTCCTCCGGCAGATGTAATTCTCCTTTTACCTTACCGACAATATGTTTCAGGACAATCACTTCAATTATGGTGGTGTTGCTATTCGTCCATGTATGGTGTCTCTCTGGTGCATTTCTTCTTTTCATACCTTTTGACTCTTTGTGTCGTTGTTTTGCTTTACAAAAACAAAAGAGTCACGGGAAGGTTCAGCGAAAGATCCTGACCAACCAGTCAACCCGCGGTTGGTGACAGTGATTCAACAGTTCCCACAAAAACAATACCAACCGATTGCTGAAGTTGCAGCCCAAAACCAACCTTGCCTATGCATTGTTCTCTAAAGTAAGCCTAACTTTTTGTCTGCAAGTGTTTGGCGTTGTTTAGTTCGCACAATTTACGTAATATATATAATTTTTTTTATAATTTTTGTCATGGTGGGAAAGTGAAAAAGTTGTGTGCGCTTATGCTGTACGAAGGCCCTCACTTTTCACATCTAAGTAAAAAGAAAGAACGACATGCATATACCAACTATTCAAATTAATAAAAGAAAAAAAAACCGAAAAAGTCGCACGCAACGAGTATTATACAAAGTCCTTGGCAAAAGTATCTTTAAGGTGGGGCCGAGGCCCAAGATCACAATTTAGGGTGGAGATTTTGTTGGCACATAGTGAATTTGGAGTAGACAGCGTGTGCAAAGACAGATCAGACGAGTTCGGTGGTGTACAAAGTCATACTGCTACACATAACTGAAATGGCCAGAAAGCAACTTAACTCCACCATGGTCACCTATTAACATCACTTTGCGCTTTTTTTTGTTTTTGTTTTTTTTTGCTTTGATTTTGTGCCGCTTCTGTCTCCTTCCTCCTCCCGTGGATTTTAGAGATAGGGAGACCAGGCGCTTTTGGGACTCCAGATAATAAAAATCAAATATTAATCGGTCAATTGTTACTCATTAACAGCCCACCCCCTCATTTATTACATAAAACTTAATATAGGCACCCACCTGATTTATTGTCCAAAAACCCTCTTAAAGATAATATAAGAGTACAATAATAATTGATAATACAAAATATTTAAATGACAAAAACCAATTACAAAACCAATGTATATATGTATATTCACGAAAGATTACATCCAATTTAATAGATAAGGTAAGCTGATGTATTATTATAAAAACAGTATCTTAGATTAAATGCAATGATTAAGTTTTTTTTTGCTTTATTTTAAAGTAATATGTCTAATTAATGTTACGAAAAGTGGTAAGGAATGAAGTTTTGTAATGATATAGCTCAACCATTAAGCTCCGTTCTAACTTGCTTTCTCTTTATCGCGTATATATACATAATACAAATACATAATTTGGTTTCACAAATGACACAATAAAGTAGAACAAAACAATGTAATCATGATGATCAGAGTTTTCTTTGGACTTGCTTTTTATGTTTTTTATAAAGGCAAAAACAAAAATTTTAAAACATTATTTAAATATTAAAAGATTTTGAAGAAATCATGCATTAATTTGACCGCCAAAAAAATGTAAAAACAAAATTAAAAAACATTATTTAAATATTAAAAGATTTTTAAGAAATCATGCATAAATTTGACCGCCAAAAAAAATGTAAAAACTTGTCCAAGACAAGATTAGATTCAAAATATATAGATAAAAATCTATTAACACAGCCCTTAGATATTTTGCCGAGGCTTGTGAGAGCGCAAAGGTTGAAATTTACTACAAGCGGTATTGCGGTCCTCCGATTTGGCGTCTCCTATTTCCTTACTTCTGCTTTCTCCCAAAGGCAACCATAAAAAAGGGTGAAAAAAAAACATATTTGGCGACCTTTGCAAAACAAAATGCAGAGAGTAAAATGCGTTAGGGCCGAGTGATTTCAGATTTCATATAGATTTTACTTGGAGATGTTGTTGGTACGTGGCGAAGCTGGATTAGACAACATCTTCAAATTACAGATAGGACGAGTATACTGGAGTTGGGTCCCACGGCTATTCACTGAGGCATAGTACTAGGGTCCATGTGTATGAAGCCGGACTTCCATATGAGGTTGACAGAAGACGAAATATAATAATTGCAACGTGACTAACATGGTCAAAAAGTAACTTAACTCGATCATAATTAACTATTAACCACACTTTTTCTTCTGTTTTTTTAACTTGGTTCAGCACCACGTCTATCTTCTCCCTCCTCATCTGCGTTTTTTTTTTTGGTCATCTCCTCTGCGTTTTAGAAGAGAGAAACCAGACGCTTTTGAAACTCTAGATACAAAAAAATCAAATGCTGATTTATTAATTGTCCCTCATTAATGGCCAATTACCCAATTAAATGATGATGGAGGATAAATGTATCGTACAAGTACAAATTTGAGATTGTTGGTATCATAAAAAATGTCTAGAGTAAATATATCACAATGCTCATAATTGGAGGTTTTTAATGGCTTTTCCCCTAGATCAAACGAGATGATTGAGCTTTATTCTACTTTATCGCTAGTAAAATGTCTAATTAATTTAAGAAAAGTGAGAGAACGGAGTTTTGTGATAATGTGACTTAGCCATTTGACTGCACTCTACCTAACTTTCCTATCATTGATAGATGTGTGTGTGTGTGTGTGTGTCTATATTGACACATAATAGCTGAATTTTCTTAGCTCTCGTTTGTTTGTGTTTCTTAAAACTCAAACACAATGTTTATTTTTATGTTAAAATTCAAAATATTATTCAAATACAAAATATGTACATAATTTGTCTTTACAAATAACACACAATAGAATAAAACGAAAGAAGGTAATCCTGATGATCAAAGTTAATGAAGTTTTCTTAGGACTTATTTGCTTTTTAAATTGGAAAGACTAAATTTTAAAATGTTATTTAAATATTAAAAGATTTTGAAAAAAATGCATAAATTCCATATCAAGATTTAACGGTTGTGAAAATTTGACAGGTTTCAAGCCAAAAAATAGAAGTGTAAAAACTTATTCAAGAATATAATAGATTAAATATATTATCTATGAACACAGCCGTTAGATACTTTGCTGAGGTTAGTGAGAGCGCAAAACTTGAAATTCACTTACTACATGTGGTAGCATTCTCCTCCGATTTGACGTGTTTATTTTTCCCCTTGTCCTTTTTTCCTTACTTGTCTTTTTTCCAAACGAAACCCTGAAAAGGTAAAGATCACGTGTTGTGTTGGTGATTCCATTGATTGGTACATCGACAATTTTATATTAGGCAACGTGTACCGACACATATAGGATAGGAACGGTGGACTTCGTTCCCACGACTATTCACCAAAGGCCTAACGAGCGGGGTCCACGCCTATGATGCCATACTGCCATCTACAATAAAAGACTGACAGAACAGGAAGCATAATAATTGTCATAGCCAAAAAGCAACTTAACTCGATCATGGTTAATTATTAACCATCATCTTGTTCTTTTGTTTTTGTTTTTGTTTTTTCTGTTCCGCATCTTCGTTCCTTCTGTGCGTTTTAGAGAGTGACCACGCACTTTTGAAACTCTAGAAATTAATAATTAAATTGTGACTTATTAATCTTCCTCATTGATAAATGAGCTTTCTTTTTAGTCGATTCCAACACGATGATACCAAAATTGTAAAGATGAATGGATGGGCTTCAGCAGCTGAGTAACATATGATCACGTTAATCCATTCTGGGTACTCCAAAACTAAACCATGACCATTAATCTCATTCCTCGTATTGGTCTTCCCATGTTGTTCTATAGTGTAATTGTCACCAGCTAATTTCCACACGAGAAAAGGGAAGTGACATGGTCTGTCTTTCAAGAGAAGGACAAAGTCTTAAACCAATCTCGCCACCTACCGACTATACCAAAAACATACACATTTGGGCTGAAAGCTCACACCAAAAGAATATAGCCCTATAATCCGCACATTGAAGCTTTGTATCCACCATTTTGTTTTTAAAGCTCTTTGCAAAGTTCGGCCATTCCAACTTGAGTTATACTATGTGAAACAGAGATCACCAGCTTGAAGCAAGAGCACGCAGCGTTTTCCACGCATCTATGGTGTGAAAATATGTTCCAAGTTCCAATCAGGTCACTTCAAGCTGCTGCAATTCAAGGTAAACATAACTTATGACAAGCGGCCGGTTAATGTTGTTGATTGAAGAGACAAGTGGTGACACGTCTCGTCGCTCTTTAGGTGAAGGTGCAATGACAAAATCACATCGAAAGAGAAGTGACTTGAGACTTGAGAAAGATACGAAACGAAACGAAATATCTACACTCATTCAAAGGTCTAGCAAATTTCGATGATGAAATTTTGTTAGGTGGTAGATTTTAATATTCCAAACCAAAAAGGGAATTTCGTAATGTTGAAAAGAAAAGTAAAAATTAAACATTTGGATTATTTTGAGAAGGCAAGGAGCAATTGTGGGAGGTAATTATGGAACTAGTCTTGTAGAGCTTGGCTCGGTGCCTTCTTATCCTCCTAGGATTGGCATTTGCCATTATCACCCAAAACTAAGGAGAAAGGCAAGAGGGCAGAGCGGACGGCGACGCCGGAGGTCCAAGGCTCACCTTGGAGTGTCCTTCATCATCGGAAAACCGCTCTCAATGGCGACATCCATGGATTGAACTGTTATTTTCTTTGACTTCGAACTCCTGGGATTTGGCATTGTCTGATTTCGACATTTCGTTTGGAAATTACACCCTTCCAAAATTGCGGTTGTAGGCTGGTAAAAAAGTGTAACTTTCTTGCATAAACA